TGCAACTAAATACTAGTGATGTATTTTGAATTGTCTTTTGTTTATCTGTTTTTCTTTATTTCATACTTTTTTCCTCAGAATTGAGTGATTCCATACTTTTTCCCTGTTCTTGGTCAATAAAAGTAACATTCACTGTCTTCCACAATGTTTTCTCTTCATTTCTTTGAGTGTTCCTGAAARHMAHCAAGTTGCACTTTGGAATGACCTTATTATTGTATCACGTTTTTGATCTGAGTTTGTTTTACAGAATGAAATGTCTGAACAAGTGCTCATCCAAGACTGGTGATTCCATACATTTTGCCAGGGTTTGTAGGTATAAATCAAAAGATTATTTCCTGAACGTTTCATCAAAATTGCCCTGTGGTTTGTAAGATGTTTTGCTAACAATCAAAATTAAAACACAGTGATAACATTTTTCGCCACCTTACCTTACGGGTGGCGAGACATAAAAATAAAGTGCATCTAACAGCTATTTGAAATCTTTAGAACTGACAATAAACACTGCTGTTTCTGAGCTTGTGTTGCATTCAGTGAGCAAACCATTAAAATCACCAAAGGAGTGAGATTAGTAACATATTACTTTAAAAAGAAACATTATGGGAATATGTTACTAATATTGTAAATAGGAAATAATGAACAGACTTGGGTAAGTATAAAATTACTCACAAACAAACTTTGTGTTACAACATTCCTACATTTCTATAGCTATTATTTAACAGTAAGGAGTGAGAATTGTAGATGCTTAACATTTTTCATGAGAATAAGTAAATTTATCCAGACTGCTGAGGCTTTATGCTTCAAATTTGCAGGGTTTTCTGCAGACTGTGTCCACCTAGCTTTGTCAAACAGTCATATTTGTCTGTATATATTACCAGTGACAGACATAAATCACGCCAAAGAGGCCAAGCTGTGGGGCATCAACGGGCCAAGCTGACAATGAGGGTGAAGTGTTTGAGTAAATCTTGCGCCTGGCCCGTTGGCCCCATGGCAGGGGCCTCTGTGCGGCGCTTTGAGAAGCCCCGAGGATGACAGGTGCTTTTCGTAATGCCTAACTGATGAGAGCCAATCAGTGCGCTCCGTCGTGCTGGTGTGTGCGTCTCCTCTCCTGTTGTTGTCATCTGGCCCGCTAAAGTAAAGATGAGCTTGACTGACAGATGCATCCGGGTTCACAGTTTATTGGTTTCTGCGAGAGAGCCAGATATGCCAATTTAGACAGGGTAGTGACAAAAAAGTTCCCATCTAAATGGAATAATTTTACCACTGGGAATTCTCAGCTGGGAGAGGAGGGAGTGTGTGTTATGTGTGTGTGTGTGTGTGTGTGTGTGTGTGTGTGTGTGTGTGTGTGTGTGTGTGTGTGTGTGTGTGTTATCTTTTAACAAGCTCTGAATGACAAACACATAGGACAGTTAGGTGCTGACAGAAACAGCAGCTTTTGATGCTTCACAGGGGATCCATGAAAT